TAAGTAGACCCCACCACCACCACCACCACCAAGGGAAAAAACATGGTAGTGGTGAAAGCAGAGTAGTGGGGAGGAGGGGCTTAAAATATGATTGTGGGGCTGGTGCTATGGCATGGTGGTTAAGACAGCCACATTCCACATGGCTACCCATGCAGCTTAAGTCAGGGACCTGGAAGCTTCAGAAACACACTGGGCATGTGTACATGCATGTCCAAGATCCTAAATGGAAGAAGAGATGGATAAGAGATTGTAACATGACCGTTCCCCCTATGAGGCAATGCCTCTCCCTCTCTTTCTGACTCTGGTGGTTCATGTGCCCAATAGGGGAAAAAATTATTGTGAATAGATCTGTAAAAGAGCATTTCAGGAAAACCATGAAGACCCAAAGTCTGGAAATGGCTTGATGTATTGCAAAGAAGTGAAAGAAGAGTATGGCTGGAGCCAAATGATTGGATAGAATCAAAGGAGATAAGATTGAAGGACGAATGGACAGTTTAGTTTGAAGGTTATAGCATGAGTCTTTGTGAAATAAGTCAATGACTGGGGCTAGAGTTGTAGTTGCAAAAATACTGAAAATTTGACATTTATTTTGGAGGTAGAGCTAACTGATTTGGGAGCAATTGAACTATTTATCTCTCTGATGTATTCAGTTAAAAATAATTGTCCCTGTACTAAAACCAAAGTCAACAAATCATGTTAGTTAATAGAGAATTGTTCTGATGCATGCAGTAACATTGAACTTTATATTATCAACTGGACTGGGGAGAAATATACACATGTTGGAATATTCACTTTGCAAGCTAAATAACATGATTGAATGTGTAAAAGAACTTGAAATAAAAAAAAAATAGGAAAACGTAAAAAAAAAAAAAAAGAAAACATTATTTCCAAAAAAATTAAAGAGAACATAAAGTCAGCAAAGTACAAGTCCAAAAGATCACAACTGTCTCTTCTCAAGGTCTTGCGCTTTCCTTTACATTTATTCCAGTATGACTCCTTGTTTTGATATGCTTGCCAAGTGTTTATTCAGAATGGACGTTGGGATCATTGTACTTGACCTGACCATGTTAGAAACCAAGGAAAGGCTGAATATTGTTATTAGCAGCCCAAGAACCACAGCAAATGGTAGAACCAGACTAAACCAATCCCTGCAAAATGGGCAGCAAAACTGGGGTAGAATAGTCACCAGCAGTTTATAAATAATAACTGGTTGAGGAGTAGTAGCTACAGTACCAAAGGCACATTATTGTCTTCTCTGGAGTGCAGCAAGTGGTAACCTGGCCCACCAAGTTGTATTGGATGTAGTTCAAAGTTATGCTTTGCATATTTCATGACAGAAATTGTAAATGTCAACCATTATGTGGGCCAAAATTTCAGTAATAGCCGTTAAGTGTTTTCTCTCTGCCTATTGTACCATAAGGAAAAAAGAGAAAGCCACATTCTCAACAAAATGTTAGATTTTGCATGCACATGCATGCATGTGCATTTGCACACACACCCACCCACAAAGGAATACGTTCAAAGAGAAGAAAAAATTGTTCCATTTATCTAGGGATTGGCCAATGGATTGATTGTGGTGGAGTGGGGAGGCTTAAAGGAAAGAAGACACCTAGGTTTTTGTTTTGAGGAGTTGGTTGAATGATTGTGCCATTATCTGGTAAAGGGGAAGGTTTGGGGAAGAGAAAATTGGAGGGATTGTGGCTGTTTAGATCAAGACTAGTTGATCTCTGGCCTGGACTAGTTCTAAAGTCCCTTACTGAATTCCCTCCTGACTGGCTTTCCTACTTTTATTCTGTTCATTTCAGTCTTTAGTAAGCTTCCCTCTAGAGGAAAACAATCTAAATCCTTACCATGGCCTTAGAGCCCTGTGTGATCTAGACACTGTTTATTATTTTCTATTTCATGCAACTCTCCAATTTCTGTACTCTTTGTGGCCTACAGTTTTACTTTAAGTAGAACAGATTAGTTCCCACTTTAGGCTGTTGTTCTTATTCCTGCCTGAAACACTTTCCTCAGAGTCGTAGCTGAAATGTCATCTTAGGATCGGCTTTGAGGTACAGCAGTTAAGTACTGCACAGAAAACGTCTTGTCCCATATGGACAACCAGGGTTCAAGTCCTGTCCCCAGTGACTTGAAAAACATGTGGGATGCACACCTGCATGCCCAGGATTCTGAAGAGATGGAGAATTAGAGGAAAAAGATTGCAGCATGACTAGGCCGCATTAGGGGTACTTTCCCTCTTTCTCTTTTAGATGTAAGTGTCCATCTTACATCTAATTATTTTAAAATAATTGTTATTAACTTTATTTTAATTTGACCAGAAAGGGACAGAGTGAGCAAGGCCCAGAGGGTGTTTAGTTGTGATACCCAAGAATTTCATCTTTGTTCTTAATTACTTTCATTAAGTACTCTATTTCATATATGTATGTGAGAAAAGCAAACTCATGAGATGAAAAAACAAAGTAACAACTGAAGTAACAACTGTTAGTGAGGATGTGGAGCAGTTGGAACCCTTGTGCACTGCTGATGGAAGTGCAAAGTGGTGTAACCATTATGGAAAACAAAATGGGATTCCTAAAAATATTAGAAAGACAGTTTCTACACAATCTAGCAATGCCTTTTCTGCACCTTTGAGTGTGTGTGTGTGTGTGTGTGTGTGTGTGGGTTGTGAGAAAAGTCAGAGTGTATTTTTTTCTATGTAAAAATGCATCATGACTTTTCTGACAACCCTATGTGTGTATATATACACACACTCACCTGAAAGGAAGGAAAGAAATGCCTGAAGATACATGTATATATTTGGAACCAGCAGTTGGCTTAATGACTATGTTGTTGGACTCTCATGTAGTCGACCATGGTTTGAGTCCTGGACCTGGTGGCTTAAACTCACACTGGGCACGTGTGCATGCATGTCCAAGATCCTGAGAGGAGAATGGAGGAGAAGGGATTGTGGCATAGCCATCGCCTCTGGGGGGTGATTTCTCACTTTCTGTCTGTCTGTCTGTCTGTCTCTCTGGTGAGCGCATGCACCCTAAAGCAAAAACCTCTAAAAAATATTTGTAGATTCCATCCATGTTGATAGCAGCGCTGTTCACAACAGCCAAGAGATAGAGGTAACCCAAGGTACACCTATGGGTGAATGGATAAAGAAGATGTGATGCACATACCCTAAAATAGTATTTAGGGAAATTCAGACACATACTGCAGTATGGATGAACCTTGAGTACTTTATATTGAGAAATAAGCCAGTCTCACAGAAGACAAATGTTAAATGATTCCAAATATATGAAAAATCTAGAGTGTCAGATTCATAAAAAGTAGGATGGTGTTAGCCAATGGGGGAAGAGGGAAAATGGGAAGTTGCTAATGAGTATAGAAATTCAGTTTTGCAAATTGAAAAAATTCCAAAGATTGGTTACACAAAAATATGAATATATGTAACACTATTGAATGGTATACACTTAATAGCAAAAATGAAAAGTTTTATTGTGTATTGTACCATATTTAAAATACATAAGACCCCAGGGTGTCCAGCAGGTGGCATAGAGGTTAAGGCATTGGATCCCACATGACTGATTCCATGGTTTGAGTCCTGGATCTGGTGGCTTGAAAATCACACCAGGCATGTGCATCTGTGCCCAAAATCCCAAAAGGAGACTAGAGGAGAAGAGACTGTGTTGTATCCATCCCTTGTGGGTAGTGATTTCTTACCCCCAATCCTCTGTCTCTCTTTATTTCTGGCAAGTGCACACAAGATAGCAAAATAAATAGGTGTATGTGTGTGTGTGTGTGTGTAGTTTTGTATGACCCATAAATGATTAATATACAGTAAGAATAAGAATTAACATGGCCTTCATGCTAACAAAGATGTATCAGCTAAGTGTTGACACTGGTTTCTTTCTTTTTTTCTTTCTTTTAGAGGATTTTCTTAAGAGTTATTTTATCTTAACTTTATTTATTTACTTATTTTAATTTGACCAGAGAAGGACAGAATGAGATAGAGAGAAGAGAGGAAGAGGGAAAGTGAGAAAGCAAGCTGCCAGGTCCAGGATTTGAACCATAGTCAGCCCTGTGGGAGTCCAGTGCCCTTAAACACCACGCCACCTGCCAGCCCCTAACACTGGTCTCTTAAAAATGGGCAACTTATTTGATAACCATACCTCGCATTTTACTGATATACTTGAGGTATTGTGTTCCCATTAGTAGTAACTTTTTTCTTTTATCCTTGAAGAAATAATGCTATTCAAGAATATTAGAGATTATGTATTAGATATTATATTTCTGAAATAATCATGGAATTTAAAAGTATTTTATTTTAGATATAGCAATATGTTTCAAAGAGTAGCATTTTAACATTTGACATTTTTCTTTCTAATGAATTGGTTTTTTAAAAAAATTATGAATTTAATTTTATTTATTATTATTATTTTATTCACCAGAGAGAGGGAGAAAGTGAGAAAGCAGAGGCCAGAAGATAGCATAGCAGTTATGTCGCTCGATTCCCACATGGCTGACCACAGTTTGAGTCCCAGACCTGGTGGCTTGCAACTCACATCAGGCGAGTGTGTGTGCATGCCCAAGATCCCCGTAGGAGAATGGAGAAGAGATTGCAGAGTGACTGTCCCCTCTGTGGGGTGATTTTTCACTTTCCCTCTCACCGTCTCTGTCTCTCTCTCTCGTGAGTGCCTGCGCCCTAAGGTAAAAACCTCTTTAAAACAAACAAACAAACAAAACAAAGTGAGAAACCAAACCACCAGTTCTGGGACCCGAATGGCAGTCAGCCATGTGTGGGTCCAACACCTTAACCACCATGCCACCTGCTGGCTCAGATAAATTGGATTTTTAAGAGAATCACTTTGTTTAATTGGCCAGGAAGATCGTTTACATTGCTTTTCTCCTTGTATTGAATTAATAACTATATACTAATAATATCTTTAACATTTTCTGTCATTTTGTTTTTTACCCAGAAACTTACAGACTTTTCCTTTTTTTTTTGCTGAGAATCCAATTTGTGTTTTTGAAAGGCAGAAATACTGTGAAATGTTGAAATAGTTTAAATCATCTAAGACTGAGGCATATATAATGAAACAGCTTGTAGTACTTGTATAGAAAAAGGTTTGTAATTTTTAAAAAATTTGATTCATTTATTATTTCGCTTTTTTTTCTTCTTCCTGTCTTAATCATGATGTACTTTAAAAATATGATACCAGATACTCTTGAATAACACTTTTCAGCTCCTATGGAAGTCAATTTTTAAAGAAATCCTAAGGTACTTAGTTTTTGCTTTGCTTTTCTTTTTCAGGACAGGCACTTGTAGACCACATTGAGACTACAGAACCTGAAGCAGTTAAGAATGTCTCTGCCAAGTCGACAAACTGCTATTGTTAACCCTCCTCCACCAGAGTATATCAATACTAAGAAAAATGGGCGATTGACAAATCAACTGCAGTATCTACAAAAAGTTGTCCTAAAGGCTTTATGGAAGCATAGTTTTTCTTGGCCTTTTCAACAGCCTGTGGATGCTGTGAAACTAAAGTTGCCTGTAAGTATATCTTATGTTAGTTTTAAAAAGGAAAAATCTTGTAAGTCTCTCTCAGGAATAAATAGTCTTGAATATCATAAAATATATTTAATTTAATAGCAAACATTTTGTTTATTCAAAAGAATATGCCAAGGAGTATTTTCTTCCCAGAAAATAAAGCTTATTTTTCTGAGTATTAATATTCCTATTTTAACAGTTTATTATAAATTTTAGTACATATTTTCTTGTATAGCATATGTCACTTGATTTTTTTTTTTTTTGAGAGGTTTTTGCTATAGGGTGCATGCACTAGCCAGAAAGACAGAGACAGAAAGCGAGAAATCACCCTCCAGGGGGGATGGCCACACCACAATCCCTTCTCCATTCTCTCGGAACCATGTGCACACACCCAGCATGAGTTTAAGCTACCAGGTCCGGGACTGAAACCGTGGTCGACTACATGGGAGCCCAGCGACATGACCATTATGGCAACTGCTGGTTCCTTACTTGATTTTTTGATGCAAGGTATTCATAAATGTCACATTCTGTAAGGTCAGCCTCTCACTGACATTTCCTGGCAGATTTAGTTGCATCCCATCCAGAATTCAATCTCAGGTCTTTTTCTTTACTTTTTTTTTTTTTTTTTTTAATTTGCTGTAAGTCTTGTGAACTTGCCAGGGAGACAGAGAGAGAGAGAGAGAGAGAGAGAGACAAGTGAGAAAGCACTCCCTAGTGTCGATGGCCACCTTCTCTATTCTCAGGATTTTGGGCATGTACACACACTGACCTGGCTTGTTTTTCAAACCACAGGGTCCAGGATTTAATCTGTACAGTCAGCCATATGGGATCTAGCTCCCTTAACCACCATGCCACCTTCTGGCCACAACTTTATGTTTTGTGTGAAGAATTTTTTTAGCCATCTAGTTACAGAATGGTTGAGTAATTCGTCATATATCTACTAAACCACAGAGATTGAGTTTAACTCTGAATCTGTCAGGCCATAAATACTAGGTTTCTCCTCATGCCTTCACTTGTTATTTTCTCAGATAGTTCTTAAGTTGTTGTCTTTGTTCATTTTGATTGGCCTTTTTTCCTCTGAAAAATGATGCCATAGCAGTCAGTTTTTTTCCTCATTAGTAAAGCTTCTGATTTCCTAATTGTCTTTTTAAAGGTAATCATTCATTCTCTCAAGTTACTAGTATATAGTTTATGCAATTTTTAATGTACCAATAATTATAGTAAATTTATTCTTACTGAAATTTCAAATTTCTTCTAATGCATAGGATTATTATACCATTATTAAAAACCCCATGGATTTAAATACAATTAAGAAGCGCTTGGAGAATAAGTATTATGTGAAAGCTTCAGAATGTATAGAAGACTTCAATACAATGTTCTCAAATTGTTATTTATACAACAAGGTATATAATCCTTATGTTAATTCTTGCTTATTTTTTGTTATTACATGTAGGGAAGATGTGTGTGTGGGGGGGGTGGATTTTTTATTTCAAGTCATGATTTGGGATATTGTATGTATTTTTTTCCTTTCCTTATTAATTTAGTATTAGCTAGAGGGTATGTGTACTCATGAGAGAGAGAGACTGTTTTTGGTTAACTTCCATGCTCCTTTGACATATTCCCATAAATGTGTATATGTTTGTGGGGGTGTTAGTATTTTGAGTAATTCCTTACTTTTAAAAAAAAATCTTTTTAAAAGAATTATTTTATTTAACCTTATTTATTTATTTTATTTTATTTGACCAGAGAGGGACAGAAACAGAAAGTGAGAAAGCAAGCTACTAGGACTTGAACCATGGTCTGCCATGTGGGAGTCCACTGCTCTTAACCATCACGCCACCTACTGGCCCCTATTTTACATTTTTTTTTTTGAGAGGTTTTTGCTATAGGGCATGTGTGCTTGCCAGACAGACAGAGCCATAGAGACAGAAAGCGAGAAATCACCCCCCCAGAGGGGATGGTCATGCTGCAATCCCTTCTCCGCCATTCTCCTCTCGGGATCTTGGGCACGCACGCACACGCGCCTGGTGTAAGTTTAAGCCACTGGGTCCGGGACTCGAACTGCGGTCGACTACAGGGGAGTTCCGTGACATAGCCATTACGCTAACTGCTGGTCCCTATTTTACATATTTTTAGGGATATAACTTTTTAATTGGATTTTATAAATTTCACAATAATATTTGTTTAATTGATTTGCTAATATCTTTGCCCAAATAAATATTTTTTTAATATTTATTTTATTTATTCATTATTTTAATTTGACCAGTGAGAGAGACACAGAGAGAGAGAGGGAAAGTGAGAGAGCAAACCACTGGGTCCAGGACTTGATCCTTGGTTGGCCATGTGGGAATATCCAGCACCTTAATCACCACACCACCTGCTTGTCCCACTATAATACGTTTTTAAGAAAACGAATTATTAATGATGGCTGGTTTCTGTGAATAAAATATTCAGAATGTTTTCTACGGTATTCTGCCAGTTTAGTTATAAAATGAACAATAAACTGTTAGACATGAATCTCTGTTAAATTTTCCTGAAATGGATTCTCAACTATAACTAAAGAAGCTAAACCAATTGAATAATTACAAATTTTAAAACAAATTGATTTAAAGATCAGATACATTCTTTACTATATCCTAGTAGTAGTAGTTGCATTTATGTGAATGCATTAACAATATGAAACTTAAGTTTAGTATATCTACATATATGCTGGGTTTGTATATTTTGTTTTTCTTCCAATATGGTACTTTTATTTTCCAGAGAACTATATCCTTTTCAAGGTATTTTATAGTCTCTAAGCATTCTAAAGCTTATATCCCATTTAAATAAGAGAAATCTACATATTTGACATTTAGTTTATTGAAAATCACTAGTGACACTGAAATGTGATAAAAATTTTGATTTGATTCCAAAAGTAACAATGTCACCTTTTAAATAGGGTCTTCTTTTTTTTTTTTTAGAGAGGTTTTCGCTATAGGGCGTGTGCGCTCGCCAGACAGACAGAGACAGAAAGCGAGAAATCACCCCCCCCCCAGGGGGGGATGGTCATGCCGCAATCCCTTCTCCTCCATTCTCCTCTCGGGATCTTGGGCATGCACGTACATGCACCCGGCGTGTTTTAAGCCACCGGGTCTGGGACGCGAACAGCGGCTGACTACGTGGGAGTCCAGCAACCTAGCCATTATGCTAACTGCTGGTTCCCTTAAATAGGGTCTTCTAAAAGTTAATGGAAAATGTTTTATGGAAAAATATGCATAAATTTAAAACATTTTTTTGCACAAAAGTAAAGTCACACTTGAATTGCACTTTCCACACACTTTTTGAAATACCCATGTATGGTTAAAATATTTAAAATATTCACCAATGTGAATTTAAAAAAATCAATACCAATGGTAATCAGTCCAACTAGAAACTTCATTTTTAATTTAGTATCAAGTCCAAAAGTTCTTTCTCATTTAATATTTTTAAATGAAGTTGTGTCATTTTTCTTTCTTTTCCTTTTTTTTTTTTTTTTTGAGAGGTTTTTGCTATAGGGCACATGCACTCTCCAGAGAGACAGACAGACAGACAGACAGAAAGCAAGAAATCACCACCCGGGGGGGATGGCCATTCTGCAATCCCTTCTCCTCCATTCTCCTCTCCAGATCTTGGGCACACACGCACACATGCCCGGCGTGAGTTTAAGCCACCGTATCCAGGATTTGAACCATGGTCAACTATGTGGGAGTCCAGCGACACAGCCATTACGCTAACTGCTGGTCCCTAGTTTAGTCATTTTTCTGAGCTATCTAACTTAGAAAAAAATTGTTCTCTGCTTTGGGCTATTGCTTTGTGATTAGTTTTTTTCCTCAGTAAGGAGAAAAAAGCAAAGCAAAAGGAGGGTTCCAGATAGGTAGTTAAGATTTAAAAACTGAGTCAGTGCTGTTGGGGTCCTTTTATCATTAAGTTAATTGAAAACTCAGTCACCCCAAGTTAAACCATGAGCTACTTTGCACTTTTGTTTTTATCTATTTGTGGAAATTCTAACTTCTGATACCTTTTTTATTAGTAGGATCAGTTGGATTGTAATTCTCCAATGCTTAAAAGGCATCTGGGTCCTTTAAAGAATTTGAAGGGGTAGAATGTTATAAGGTTGTAAAATGTGAGTTGCTTCAGTATTTTCTAAATTTAAAATAAGTAAATACTGTCTATTAGTATATGTCATTGCTGTCTGAAGGTAGCCTGCATTAAAGAAATTGGTACAGTGACCATAGTGTGAACCCTTACTGTATGTTAATATGTTTTCTAGCCTGGAGATGACATTGTTCTTATGGCACAAGCTCTAGAGAAGTTGTTTATACAGAAATTATCTCAGATGCCACAAGAAGAGCAAGTTGTGGGTAGTAAGGAAAGAATAAAGAAAGGTAAGCCAGGAAAATGTATTTACTCTGTCTCCTGTGTGTGAGAGAAACAAACTCCTTCGAAGGAGACAGACATCCAGAAGTCCTTCTACATCTTATTGTACAAGTACAAAATGTCCATTTAAACAGCCTGCCAAGCATTAATCACAAGAATGACTATCATGCAAGAGTAGAGGGTTTCACTGATGAAGGCCTTGAAACCAGGCTTCCTGCAGCCTAGTGCCATTCACCTAGTGGGTACCCAGAAACCCACAGCTGTTATTAATATTCTCAGTGGAACTCCTGTCTGTACTATACTGGTAAGAAGGCCCAAATTGTCAAAGTTCTCAGTCTAAAAGTTCCTGCAGCTGAGAATGAAATGTTACTCTTGGGTCTGAAAACTGTCCTTATTTCTTCCTTCCTTCCTTCCTTCTTTCTTTCATGTAATTTGCTATGGAGTGTGTGCCAGAGACAGAGAAAGTGGGAAAGCACCCCATGAGTGGATGACCACACTGCAGTCCCTTCTCCTCCATTCTCCTCTTGGGACTGTGTACACACATGCACACATGCCCAGCATGTTTTTCAAGCCCCAGGTCCAGAATTGAAGCCACACAGTTGGCTGTGTGGGATCCACCGCCTCAACCACCATACCACCAGCTGGCCCAAGATTGTCCTTTTTCTCACTTTTCATAACTCATGAAAAGCTTTAGAAGAAAACATTTTTACAGGCTAATAATCATGTTATTTAAATATGGTTTTTAGATTCATCTTAAGTATTCAAATGAATTTATTATAGAAATTAATCAAGAGTGTCATAGACTAAATGATGGTTTACCTTTGGATCACTCTAACTATGTAATATTGGTTAAGTTCTTTAATCATTCCCTGTTAGTTTTTTTCTATTTTTCCTATTTGTAATTTTTTATTATTTATTTATTTTACATTTTTTCACCGAATATCATCACAGCATACAAAATGTGACTTCCCATCTAGAATACACTATAAAGTGACTTAATCATACATGTTATCAACAAATAATTTTCTGTTTCTTATTTCTTATGTATATATATTTTTTTCTTTCCCCTCTATTTCTTACCCTCTGCCATTTCCCACTTTCCTCCCACACTATCTCTCGTGTCTGCAGTTGCTTTCCATTCCTTTTTAAATTTTTTTCCCAAATTTCTTTGATTCACAAAATATCTTAATTAATCTAAATACCTTCAATAGCAAGTTCCGCTGATGTGTGTATGTGTGTGTGTGTGTGTGTGTGTGTGTATATATATATATATATATATGTGTATATATACACATATATACATATATGTGTATATATACACACACACAGTATAGAATATACTTATACAAACTTACATGGTATAATCTACTACACACTTATGCGAAATGATACAGTGTATATGCTCCTTATGGGACCACCACTGTATACACAGTCTGTCACTTGACTGTATATTGACACCCATTTTCTATGGGGCTAGTTGAACACTTTTTTTATTTGACCAGAGACAGACAGACAGACAGACAGATAGGGAAAGTGAGAAAGCAAGCTGTTGGGTTTGGGACTCAAACCATGGTTGGCCATGTGGGAGTCCAGTGCCTTAACCGCAACACCACCTGCTGGTTCCCACTAACACTTTATTTTTTATTAATGACAGAGGGTACCTTCATGATGGCATGTATGCACTCATATGAGAGAGAGAATCCCCAGTGGGGTCTGGTCACGCTGCTTTCCTTTTTATTTCAAGTTTCTATCCTGTCAAAAGGGCACACATATATATACCTGACATGAAGTAGATGGGGCCAGGGCTCAAACCCCAGGCATGTGGGAATCTAGAGTCATGTGGAATTCATTCTTCTTCCTAAAGCCTAACTGTTGAATTAGATGGCTGGCCTCCAATAACACATTCTTTTTTTTTTCTTTAAGAGAAATTTTTTACTATAGGGTGCATGCACTTACCAGAGAGACAGAAAGCGAGAAACCACTCCCCTGGGGGATGGCCACACCGCTGTCCCTTCTCCTCCATTCTCTTCTCGGGATCTTGGACATGCATGCACATGTACTGGCATGAGTTTTAAGCCACCAGGTCCAGTACTTGAACTGTGGTCAGCCAAGTGGGAGTTGAGTGACACTACTGCTATGCCATCTGCTGGTCCACACTTTTTTGATAACTAATTTGCACCTTTTTTTAGGTGCTCAGGAAACTGCTAAGAGCATAAGTTTTTTACAGACAAAAATTATTTTACTTTGTTGTTTTTCTGTCAATACATTGTAAGGTATTTGGATATCTATCACAGATAAAACACATGCTGTTGGGCTATGATGAAGTATAAATACCCTAGCCCTCAAATGAAATTTACCTTTCAGATAGAAATAAAGCTTTTTTTCACTTAGTTATCCTGATGATCATGCTTGGTCTATTCTCTACAGAATTGCAAATCTTAAAAAAAACAAATAAACTGTTGATAAAAGAGGTCATTCACCTATTTACAATTTTAATAATTTTATTTAACTTTATTTATTTTAATTTGACCACAGAGGGACAGAGCAAGAGAGAGAGGGAGAGAAACCAAGCCGCTAGGTCCGGTACTCAGAACATCTTTAGCCATGTGGGAGTCCAGTGCCCTTAACCACCACACCACCTCCCCCGCCGCCGCCCCCTCAAATGTTTTTTTTTTTTGTTTTTTTTTTTTTTTAATGACAGAGGGTACCTGCATGAAGGCATGTATGCATGCATATGAGAGAGAGAATCCCCAATGGGGATTGTCTTTGGGTTCTGCTGGGAAAATGAAGTCTAAATTCCTGACTGTAATTCTTGGCAATTGGTTCTTGCCCAATTCTCCATTCTTATCCCAAGTTTCTTTCCTAATTCTTTTAAAATTTTTCCCCCACATTTGTCTTGCAATACATTTTTTAAAGAATTACGTTATTTAACTTTATTTATTTATTTTTATTTGACCAGAGAGGGACAGAGAGAGAGAGAGAAAGTGAGAAAGCAAGCTGCCAGGTCCGGGACTTGAACTGTGGTCAGCCATGTTGGGAGTCCAGCACCCATAACCACCAAGCCACCTGCCACCCTCTCTCCACTTTATATGCTGTTCCTTGGCTTGCTACCTCTTACCTTACAGTGACTTTTTTTTTTTTTTTAGGTTTATCGCTTTCTTTCCTGATACCTCACATCACTTGTAATCAACTTCATCACTTTTGTCTTGTGTTTCTTACACTAAATAGCAAGCTCCACAAAGTCAGAAACCATTATTTTTGTGCTCCAGCAACTAGAGTGGCATGCAATAAATATTTATTATGTTATCCTTATATAGCAAGTACTACCCTAGGTCCAAGAGATATATGAATGAATGAAAAAAGTCTCCTTACCCATAAAGGGTTTTTTATTCTAGTTTGTCTTTTGTCTATATGGGCATAAAGCAAATCTAAGTGTTTTTCACTGTACTTAATTGTTTAGCTCCTGAGCTCAAAGAACATTTGGAGTATCAGAGGATATGAGGTTATCTGAATCTATTTGATCCCTGAGTTTTAGTTAGTGAATAGTAAGGACACTCAGATATGAAAATGTCTACCTGATCTTGAAGTATATCCAAATCTGTTTAGTTCTTGAACTTGTTTATCAAGAATGGGAGAGCCAAGGGTACCTATATGTTGTAAGTGGGGGGAAAGGCAGAATAAGAGAGCTAGAGAATGATAGGGATAAAGGCAGAGGATTGGTTTAATATAGGGTGGTTGAAAAGGTGATCTTAGAGTAAGCCTGGAGTGAGCTATTTGAGGATATCTTCTTCCAGGCAAAGCGTAGTATTTGTGGCCACCACACCTGAGAACAGCAAGGCCAGAAGTGAGAGTGAGTAAGGGAGAAAGAAAGCCATAGGAAGTGAGGTTGGAAAGAGGGCAGAGGTAGGTGGAAGAAGCAAGTCAGTCATAGAGATTCTTTTGTGCCATTGTGAGAACTTGGGCTTCTACTTGAAGAGAAAATTGGAAGCCATTAGAGGACATAGATCAGAATTGTTATAACCTGATTTACATTTTTTGTTTATCGTTTGTCTTTGTTTTTGCCACATGGCTCATACATGTGAGCAAGAGCTAACGGGGTTTGCTGGAATTGGATGCTGGATTAAGAGGCAGTGGTGTCAAAGGTGACTCCAAGGCTTTTGACCTGAGCGATTAGAAGAATGAAATTGCTCTGATGGAAGAATGGGCTTTTGAAAGAATCGATTTCAGAGGGATGAGATCCAAATGTCTTAAGTCATCGCATTCTGTGGAAACACACAGAGCAGAACATGCACTTTTTTTTCCCCCAGAATTATCTAATGATATAAGGATGTATCAATAAGAGAATCATATTCAAATCTTTTGTTTGAAGTCCTTGGGTATTTATGCATAGCATTCTGAAGCCCTCACATAGTACTGCACATCTTGTCTCCAGGGTGTCTTACATTTTGCTCAGATTCACAGCTCCTGAAGCTACCACAGCATTCTATTTGTCAAAATGTAAGCACGTTTTTTTTTTGGTTTTGGTTTTTTTTGAAGAAAGTTGACAAAGGTACCATGAATAATAGGTTTTTAATTTCCCAGTATAGTATCTAAATTGGTTTATTATTGTCAGCAATAGTGTCTGTGAGAGGGGAAATACTGTGTTTATTGCCAAAAAGCTGAAGTAAATGAATTAAAATAAAACATTAAGAGAGAAAATGATGTTTTTCAACTTTACTCGATAAAATATTTGACTCTGGTTCACACTTTACCAGGCATTCAGCAGAATGTAGGAGTTTCTTTGGTTAAAGACAAACCATCCCCTAACGAAACAGAAAAAGTATTTAAGCAGCAAGCAGTTCCCTCTGTATTTTCTGAGACATCTGTTTCTCCCTTAAATATGGCACAAGGAGTTCTGCTCAACTCTACCTCACAAACTGTGGCCCAGGTAAATTTATTGTCATTTCTAAATCATTTGTTTTTGAAGTATCTTAATTTAACTTTGGATGTTGTAAAATCTATACTTTAGTGTTTTGAAAGATAGACTTCACTAGACTACGTAAGTCATACTATTTCTGGTTTTCTGTGCATACTGTGAATAGATACCTCTGCATAAATTTTAGAGATGTCTCAGGTAGAACTTGAACTTTTTAGTATCTTTTTTATTTTTAAGAGGATTTTGCCTTAGGGCATGTGTGCTGGATGGAGAAAGTGAAACAAAGACGGTGGGAGAGAGAGTGAAAAATTACCGCCTGGTGGGGATGGCTATGCCTCAGTCCCTTCCCTGGTCTCCTGGGATCTGTGCCCACCGTGATTTTCAAGTCACTGGGTCTGGGTCTCCAACTGCGGTCAGCCATGTAGGAGTCCAGTGATGTAACTGCTGTGCCATCTGCTGGCCCCAACTTTTTAATACCTTGATAATATTATCAGACGATGTCCACCTAGAATTTCCTTTTTAAAATTATTTATATTCTGACTGATTTCAGGTTTTCAGAAACTTTTTTGAATAACCATGACTTTGAGGGAAAAAAAACTAGAAATATTTATTTTGCCTATAAAGGGAAAAATAAACCCTACTAACATTTAGTATATGAAATATCAACAGTATTTGAAAATTATCTATATGTAAATATTTGATTATCTCTATCTTTTAAACATTTTTCTGCTGGGCAAATGTGCGCACCAGGAACAGAGAGAGAGAGAGAGGTAGTGAGAGAGCACCTGCCGTGGGAAAGGCCGTACCTCAGTCTCTTATCTGTTCTCTTAAGATTTTTGGGCATACACGCATATGAATCTGGTGGTTTTTCAAGCAGCTGGGTCCAAGATTCAAACCACACAGTCTGCCATGTGGAATTCAGACACCTTAACCACCATGCTGCTAGCTGTCTCTCTCTCTCTTCTTTTTCTTTACCTGAGAAAGGAAATAATTTTTAAAATGGAAATCTACTGCTCTTGGTATTACCTTAAGTACATTTCTTTGTTGTTCAATTGGTTTGTTTTAGGTTACAAGAGGTGTGAAGAGGAAAGCAGATACAACAACTCCTACAACTTCAGTAGTTAAAGCAAGCAGCGAATCTTCCCCACCACTTACGGAAGACAAATCACTAAGAATGCCACCTATAAAAGAAGATGTGCTGAATAACGTTTTGCCAGATTCTCAGCAACAATCTAAAGTTCTGAGAAGTGTTAAAGAAAACGAACAATTAAGACACTGTAATGAGATTCTGAAAGAAATGCTTGCAAAGAAACATTTGTCATATGCGTGGCCCTTTTATAATCCTGTTGATGTTAATGCTCTGGGACTTCATAACTACTATGACATTGTCAAAAATCCAATGGATCTTGGAACTATTAAGGTAAATGCTTCTTTAATAGGAGGAACTTCTTTTCTTGGTTATAAAAGTAATTCATCCTTGCAAGGAAATTTTTAAAAATCCAGAAAAAGATGAATATCAGAGTCACCAAAGTCACAGCACATCGAATGAATCACTGGAATTTTTTTTTTCTTTTCTTTTTTTCTTTTTTTTTTTTTTGGGGAGGTTTTTGCTATAGGGCACGTGCCCTCGCCAGACAGACAGAGAGAGACATAGAGACAGAAAGCGAGAAATCACTCCCCAGGGGGGATGGCCACGCCACAATCCCTTCTCCTCCATTCTCCTCTCGGGATCTTGGGCACACATGCACGTGCACCTGGCGTGAGTTTTTTTTTTTTTTTTTTCCTTGGGGAGATTTTCACTGTAGGGCGCGTGGGCTCGCCAGACAGACAGAGAGAGACATAGAGACAGAAAGCGAGAAATCACCCCCCAGGGGGGATGGTCACGCCGCAATCCCTTCTCCTCCATTCTCCTCTTGGGATCTTGGGCACGCACGCACACGCGCCCGGCGTGAGTTTTAAGCCACCGGGTCCGGGACATGAACCGCGGTCGACTACGTGGGAGTCCAGCGACATAGCCATTACAGTAACTGCTGGTTCCCTGGAATATTTTGAAACTTTTTTTTCCCTAGACACATCCGTGGTTCTTCACCACAGTGTTTAAGTTACAGTATGAAATATAATGTGAACCCTGAGTTTTCCCTTACTGTATTGTGGACACTATCTTGCTACATATTCTTCTAGAATGTTTTTATTAGGCTCTGCCATGTTAATGCATGCTGGTAAGATGCTGCAGTTCTATAGGCTGTGGGCACTCAGGAGGCCTGGATTTGGTTCCCAGCCTACCCGAAAGAGCTAAGTGTGGTGGTGCACACCTGTAGTCCCACTTACTGGAGAGTTGGAGACAGGAGGATGATGATAGAGCCCAGTAGTCTATAGGATTTTCTTGCTACTTTTTTTTTTTTCTTCCTTTTATAGTGACTAACTGGCTACTCTACTTCACTCTTCTCTCCATAGTCCATGCAGCCACATAAAATGTAACCCAGGCTCATATTTCTGTTCCATTTTTAATATCTTTTCATTTTCAGAGTAATGTTTGTATAACTCTGTCACACAGACATTCAAGGTTGGCTTAAGGAGATTTTTCTTTCACCACTCTCCTATTATCAGTCTTGCCTACAGACGATTATCTGCAAATGCTTTGTCTTCCTGCTTTTGTGATTTTGTTCCCGATCTTCTCTTGAAATGCTCTCCTTTATCTCTACTTGTCAAAAGTCCTTGGATTTTTTTTAAAGAATTATTTAACTTTATTTATTTACTTATTTTTAATTTGATCATAGAGGGACAAAGCAAGAGCGAGAGAGTGAGGGACAGAGAAGTGGGGGGGAGAGAGAGAAAGCAAGCTGCCGGGTCTGGAACTTAAGCCACAATCGGCCATGTGGTAGTCCAGGACCCTTAACCACCACTCCACCTGCTGGAATCAAGTCATTAATTTTTATCAAAGTCTAAAAAAATATGAAATGAACAAGTACAAACAATAGACTCAACATTTGTCAAATCTGGATATGGGTAACTATTGGTAACTGTATGGTAGCTTTCTGTACTCTCCATGTCTGGATTATTCTATAATAAAAACATCTAAGATAGATGTTCAAATAATTATTGAATTGAATTATATTGGTTGTGACTCCTATAATTTTTTTCTTACTTTAGAGGAAAATGGACAATCAAGAATACAAAGATGCATATGAATTTGCTGCTGATGTTAGATTAATGTTCATGAATTGCTACAAATATAACCCTCCAGATCATGAAGTGGTGTCAATGGCAAGAATGCTTCAAGTGAGTTGTCACTTGTCCTCTGCAAGTGTTTTTCCTCTGAAAATGGTTCAAAAATGTTATAACTCAAGAGATAAAGAGTAATATCCATACCCCTAAGTAGTGCAATGCAACTTACAAATTGTACTTTTAAAACTGTGGCAATTGCTTGCTTTTGAGTCACTGTGTCGTTTAGTAGAAAATTTGTTAACTAAGCTGCACTGTGTGCAGAGGAAACAAGAAATAGTGAAGAGAAGACTATAGACATCTGAGATGAGGTTAACTGGAGCTCACATCCCACTAAGGAGAAAGTCCAAGGACTTTCAAGACTGAGCCACTGGGAGGTAGTAGATTGATGTACCTACCACAGGGCTCTTGAAAGAAGATGCCTATATACCTTGAGAGGTCTTTATTGCCTGGAAAAATGAAGAGGATACACTCAGGTTGATAGAAAAGCATGAGTGTTAGGTTTTGTTTGCTGTATCTTAGAGTAGAAATGAATTCTGATCAAAAGATGACACTGAACTATACTTTCTGTTAAAAGGCGTTATTGCTGCATTGTCAGAAATGCAGAAACTTAGTTTAATTTCCCATTATAGGATGTTTTTGAAATGCATTTTGCAAAGATTCCAGATGAACCTGTTGAGAGTATGCCTGTGAGTTACATGAAAACAGATCCTCCAAAAATCCTTGATAGAGGAAGCGATAGTGAAGCTTCTTCTGAAGATAACTCTTCTGATGATTCTGAAGATGAACGAGTCCAGCGTCTTGCAAAGCTTCAGGAACAGGTAGTTGATCATATTGATACATTTTTATTATTCTTTGAGCTTTGATTGGGAAAGAATTCTTTCTATGGGTCAGCTGGTGGTGTGGTGGTTAAGGTGGATGGATCCCACATGGCCAACTGCTGGTTTGAGTTCTTGATACAGTGGCTTGAAAAACATTCTAGGTGTATGTGTGCGTGCCAAAAATCCCTAAAAGGGAACAGAGAGAAGGGATTGGAGCTTGGCCATCTCCCCTAGGGGTGATTTCTCGCCCTCACCCCCACCCCAATCTTTCTCTCTCTGGGGAGCGTACATGCCCTATAGCAAAACATTTAAAAAAGAAAACTCTTTTTGTAAATTTAAAAGCTGTTTCATTTAGCAACTGTGGCTTTATTTACCTATTGGAATATTTATACTGTTTAGTAGTCTTTTCTACTCAAATATATATATTAAAATTATTTTTATAAAGCTGTTATTTGTATTACTGATCACAAGTGATTGATTCTTGTTGTAATGACTTATAATGTAATGTGAGATGTTTAGTGGATGAGATCTTATTTAACATTTGCTGCCATTTGTGATCAAAGGTTAACCTGCTCTGAATTCAAGCCTGAAAAATCAATGATTAAAACCTTAAGACCATGCTGGTTCTGTGGCCTGGTGGTTAAGGTAGCAGGATCCCACATGGCCAGCTGTGCAGTTTGAATAGTGGACCTGGCAGCATGAAAATCTCAACCGGATGGAGAAATGGAGGAGAAGGGGTAGTGACATGTCCATGCCCTGTTGAGGGACACTTTCTCCCTCTCCCTCTGACTCTGTCTGTCTGGTGAGCACGTGTGTCCTGGCAAATTAAAACATTAACAAATATTAAGAACACCTGGAAATGTCAATTATTATTTGCTTTTTTTTTACACTAACTGCTGGTTCCCAATTATTATTTGATTTTTGATGAATGTTTAAGCTCATAGGTTAAGTACATTTTAGTGTTTTTGTGTAAAGTATGCTCTTTAAAACAATGAACTTGTGAAATGAATTTAAAAATCTGAAAGAAAGGTAATATGAAGTGAATTTCACAATGGGTGCTCTTGACTTTGGAGTACCTTAATTTTTTTCTAGTGTCTTCAATTATACCATGAATATTTAAAGCTTTTTTTTTTTTTGCCTTATCAGCTTAAAGCTGTTCATCAACAGCTACAGGTTCTGTCCCAAGTTCCTTTCCGTAAACTAAAGAAAAAGAATGAGAAATCTAAAAGGGAAAAGAAAAAAGCAAAGGTTACTAACAGAGATGACAATCCAAGGAAAAAGGCTAAACAAATGAAACTAAAGGAAAAGCCCCAGAGCAAGTAAGTTTCTTTTATGGTGGCTTATTATAAAACATAGTTATATCATCCAAATTAAATTTGACTAAACTAAATTTTTGTTATAGTCAACCAAAAAAGAGGAAACAGCAGGTCTTTGCTCTGAAATCTGATGAAGATAATGCCAAACCCATGAACTATGATGAGAAAAGGAAGTTAAGTTTGGATATAAACAAACTCCCTGGGGATAAACTTGGGCGAGTAGTTCATATAATACAATCAAGAGAACCTTCCCTGAGAAATTCCAATCCTGATGAGATAGAGATAGACTTTGAAACATTGAAAGCATCAACACTAAGAGAACTAGAAAAATATGTTGCAGCATGTCTAAGAAAAAGACCACTAAAACCCTTTGGTACGTATTTCTGTAGATAATGAAAATCATTCTGGCATTCATGTCAATTTTTGGTTATACTTAACTTGTTTTCCTTCTGTATCACACAGCTAAAAAAATAATGAAGTCGAAAGAAGAACTTAATTTACTGAAAAGACAGGAGTTGGAAAAGCGGTTATTGGATGTCAATAATCAGTTAAATTCCAGAAAGCGCCAAACAAAATGTAGGTAATATTTTTTTGGCAGGGGAGGGAGGGGGGATTTTTTTATTGCTTAGAGAGCATGTGCATTTGCGAGAGAGAGAGAGACAGAAAGAGACAGACAGAGAAAGAGATGATACCTCTCAACAGGGCATGGGCATGCCCAGATCCCTTCTCCATTTCCCTATCTTGTCAGGATTTTGAGCACAGGTACACATGTACCTGAAGTGTTTTTTAACCTGCTGGGGCAAGATTCAAATAGTAACAGAACCAGCAGATGCTGTAATAGTTACACTGCTGGACTCCCATATAGTCAACCACTGTTAGAGTCCCAGACCCAGTGGCTCAAAGCTCACACTGGGTATGTGTGCACGTGTGCCCAAAATCCTGAGAGGAGAATGGTGGAGAAGAGATTGTGGTATGGCCATTTCCCCTGGGGGGGTGATTTTTCACTTTCTGTTTCTTTGTCTCTCTCTGCCTCCCCAGAG